TGTTGCTGTTGCTGCTGCTGCTGGTGTTCATGCTGCTGCTGCTGCTGCTGCTGTTGCTGTTCATGTTGCTGTTGCTGCTGCTGCTGCTGCGGTTCATGCTGTTGCTGCTGCTGCTGTTGCTGTTCATGCTGTTGCTGCTGCTGCTGCTGCTGTTGATGCTGTTGCTGTTGCTGCTGCTGCTGCTGCTGCTGATGATGATGATGATGCTAATCGTGATGGTGCTGCTATTGCTGCTGCTGCTGCTGATGGTGGTGGTGGTTCTGCTGCTGCTAGTGGTGCTGCTGCTGCTATCACTGATGCTGCTGCTGCTGCTCATGCTGCTCCTGCTGCTGCTAGTGCTGCTGCTGCTGCTGCTGCTGCTGCTGCTGCTGCTTCTGTGTTTGGCTGCATGCGGTTGCTAGCGCTGGCGCTTGTGCTGCTGCTGCTATATCTGCTGCTGCTGCTGCTGCTGCTGCTGCTGTTGCTGCTGCACCCTATACTTCTACCCCACAATCTGTAATTATTGTTTCTGCTGCTGTTGTGTCTGCTGCTGTTCCTGCTGCTTCCTGTTTCTCCTGCTGCTGCTGCTGCTGCTGCTGTTCCTGCTGCTTTCTGCTTCTCCTTCTCCGTCTCCTTCTGCTGCTGCTGCTGTTGCTGCTGCTGCTGCTGCTGCTGCTGCTGCTGCTGCTGCAGCGTTTTACAGCAATAGTGGGCCCCAACGGTTCCGGCAAAAGTAATTTAATTGATGCTATGCTTTTTGTTTTTGGGCGAAGAGCGCAACAAATAAGATTAAAAAAAGTTACTGAACTTATTCATAATTCTGCTGCTGCTGCTGCTGCTGCTGCTGCTGCTGCTGCTGCTGCTGGTGGTAGCGGTGGTGGTGGTGGAGCGGGAGAAGGAGAAGCAAGGCCGAAAAAAAAACATGCAGCAGCAGCAGCAGCAGCAGCAGCAGAGGGACAGCAGCAAGATACTGGCCAGCATCTGCTGCAGCATGCAAGTGTCTCCGTTTTCTTTCAGGAGATCATTGATCATGTAAGCTGCAGCAGCAGCAGCAGCAGCAGCAGCAGCAGCAGCTGCAGCAGCAGCAGCAGCAGCAGCAGCAGCTGCAGCAGCAGCAGCAGCAGCAGCAGCAGCAGCAACAGCAGCAGCAGCAGATGCATGCATGCATTTGCTGCAGTGTAATGTTTGTGTTTATCGGTGGTTTGCTTTTGTTTGTCTTTTTCTTTCTTTTTCGCTGTTTATTTATTTATATTTATTTTTTTTATTTTCGTTTGTATATATATATTTATAATTATTAATTTTTATTGATATTTATTTATTTATATTTATTTATTTATATTTATTTATTTATATTTATTTATTTATATTTATTTATTTATTTATTGATGCATATGAGTAGCTGGTTTTTGTTTTGTTATAAAGCGTGGGGTGTATAGGCAGCTCCAGTGCATGCATTATTTACATATTTTTTTATATTTTTTTTAAATATTTTATTTATTTATTTATTTATATTTATTTATATTTATTTATTTATTTATTTTTTGTTTTTATAGAATCCTTATGTAGATAAATATGAGGCGGTATCTGGCTCTGCTTTTGTTATAAAGCGTGGGGTGTATAGGCAGCTCCTGTGTATACATAAATATATAAAAATGTATATATTTTTTTATATTTTTTTGTAAATTTATTTATTTAATTTTATTTATTTTTTTGTTTCTTTTTTTAGGATCCTTATTCAGATGAATATGAGGTGGTGGCTGGTTTTTGTTTTGTTGTAAAGCGTGGGGTGTATAGGCAGCTCCTGTGCATGCATAAATATATAAAAATGTATATATTTTTTAATATTTTTTTTTTAATTTATTTATTTTTTTGTTTCTTTTTCTTAGGATCCTTATTCAGATGAATATGAGGTGGTGGCTGGTTCTGGTTTTGTTATAAAGCGTGAGGTGTATAGACAGGGTGGGGGTTCAACTGCATATTATATAAACAACAACAAATGCATGCAAAAAGATATATTTAATTTATTAAAAATAAAAGGTTTAGATATTTATAATAATAGGTTTCTTATACTACAGGGAGAAGTAGAACAAATTGCCATGATGAAGCCAAAAGCAACTGTAAGTATATATATATATATATATATTTTTTTTTTTTTTTTTTTTTTTTTTTTTTTTTTTTTTTTTTTTTTT